ACTAACAAACCAAACTAGGGCGCTATACAGAAGTTCGTGCCTGCTTATCCCGGCTACAATCACTATTGAACAACGATCCATCTGAAGAATGGCACTTGTATATCCCTAGGCGTGGGTCTTGACTTTCCCCTATTAGAGAAGGGGGAGGTTTGGAACCCGCAAAGGAAGATTATACTATAAATTTTTTATTACAATATATATAATGTGTTTATGATTAAGTGGGTTAGACGTAAATTATCATCTTGTTTAAATAATTATTTATTCAATTTTTTTAATAAAATTATTTTAATAATTTGTAATCTAGTAAAAATTAAAAAATCAATCAAAATTAAGTATTAATCTTATTGTTTTTAACGTATTAATTTATTATTTAATAAATTTGTATTAAACTAGTCAATAATTTAATTATTAGATATAAAATTTAAAATTTAATAACTTATGAATTATTAAACATTTTTAATAGCAGATATAAAATTACAAAATTTTGTTATTTATTATAATTTTTTAAAAAAATTAATTTAGAGACTAAAGTCTAAATTAACCTACAAACTATTAAACCTTAAGTATATAATTAATTTTGAACTTTAAATTTAAATTCATTATATTTGAATTCTAGAATTGAGAATTTAGATTAATCGAGTTTATACCTTTTTTAAGATTAAATGGTAAATATGTTTAACTCAATTGGTGTAAAATATTCGAGTTAATTGTTGGAATAGTTGGAATTATTTATTTAAACCCTAATTTTTAATCTAAAAATTATTTTTTAAGAGTGATTAGGATGAAATTAAATAAAATAAAAATAAATATATGAAACTTTTTAAACTTAAATGGTGTCTTCTCTAAACTAATTTGACGATAACTCATGAACCAATCCAACACTTTAAGTTTTCATTTATTGAACTTAACCGAAATCAATTGAGTTGGTCGAGTTTTTCAAGTTCACCAAATGGGTTGAGTTCATCATATTTTATGGGTCATTGAGTTTTTTTAACATGGCTGCTCAAGTTTCTTTCCCGATGAAATCAGGTCACTACATGTTGACCAAAGACAATTGAGAATCGTCAACTCACTCATAACTAGTACAAAACAAAACATTGCAATGATCCCTACCGTTGCTAACATTACATGATTTCTACCCCGTTCGAGATAGCAAATTAAAGAAAAAAACTTTAAATTTTAATTTTTTAAGTAATTTTATTAATCTAGAGAGATAAACGTTTAAAATATTCATGAATATGACCCTCGAACCTTTGGGACCCACATATAGTAACAAGCTAGTAATTTTACAAACTAACCCATTCATAAAAAGTGTACATATATAGATAAAATCCCGATGAATAGTCCTCTCTATATAATTCAACTCCGAGAATTTGTTTCTCGGGTTGAATACAATTCAACTCTTGAGAATTTGAGAATTTGTTTAATGAATTATATCAAACTAGCTATGCACACTATTGAGAATTTGTTTCTCGGGTTGAATACAATTCAACTCTGATAAATTCTTTAGGTCCCCTCAAATCAAACAAATCATTTGTTGGTTCGTTTCTTCATTAGAACAAGCAATAAATATTATTGATTAAGAATCTCGTGTGGAATGTTTAATAAATTATTTATTATTTTTTAATCATATTTTCATGTATATAATTTTTTTAAAAATTGCAAATAAGGACAAAAGAGGATGAAGATCTGAGAATTAAGTGGTGGGAGGAGAAACAACAAATAAATTTCATTTGATTCAGATTGAAAGGAGGGCAAAAAAATAAAAAATAAAAAGTAAAAGGACTGATTTGAAAAGTTGGAAAATATTTTATTTTATTTTATTTATTTTAAAGGCCTGTGAAAATAAAAGAAAATTAAGAAAATTGGTGAAAGGGGCAAATGGCAAAATGTCAAACAAATAATCATATAAATAAATAATATATTTTAATTTAATTTATTTCCTCTCATACGTGATGCCTACTAATTACTTTGTGGGGAAGCACTGACGTACGGAGAAAATTCGTTTATTTCAATTCTTTTATATATATATATATATATATATATATATATATATAGTTAATAGGGACTAAAATGAAAATTAAAAATTTTAGGGACAAAATAAAAAATACTTCAAAAAATGATACTAAATTGCAACGCAAATAATAAATAAATAAATTATTTAACTCAATTTTTTAATTTTAGCTGGAGATTTAATGTTGGACAAATTATATGATCTTAAAAGTTTTAATATAAATTTATTAACTTTTATATTATTAAATTTATGTTTTAAAAAAAAAAACCATAATTTAATTATAAATAAGATATTAATTTATCCATATTTATTTTTACGGTCCAAAATTTGAACTCCAAAATAGTTAATATATCGATGTTGATATTAAATACGGTATTTTAATTATGAACATATCGATAAAATTTAAATATAAATATAAATATTAACTGTTATTTTCGTAAATATATGAGTCATTAAGTTATTTGTGTATTATATTCCTATTAATAATTAATCCATTTTTTTAATGTATTTTGAATTTTTTATATTAAAAATGTCAATGGGAATTTTAATTAAACAATAATAATTTTCATTGATGAAATTTTCAAGATGGAATATGCCTTCATGAAATTAACAAAAAGAATACTTAAAAAAAATTATTTATTTATAAAAATGTGTAAAAACGAAATTGATTTTAAAAAATAAGGGAGGAAAAATCAAAATTTAACCATAAAATTATCAAATTATATTAATTTTTATCCTAAAGTTTCAATTTCATCAATTATGAGATTATACGTCTCATATAATCTTGATTTTAAATTAAAAAAAAAACGTGCAATTTTTTCGTCTAATAAATTTTTGTTCAAAAAGTCGTTTAAAAAAGTAGTCTCTCATATATGAATTATAATAGCTCGAGTCCACCATTGAGTAAAAAAACCATCGACATGTCTCTACAATAATATAATATTGCTCGTTTAAGATAGACACTATCCACATATATTGCCTCAATGATACAATATTGTGAATTCGAGAATAAACCTCCATGGGTTTGTTTTTTTGTTTCGTGAAGATATGTCTTCTTACTTATATATTCACGAGAAAAGCTAACGTACGATCTTGATTGTGTTGGATGATGAAAGTCCCACATCTGCTAATTTAGGGAATGATCGTGGGTTTATAAACAAAGAATACTCTCTCCATCGGTTTGAAGCCTTTTAGGAAGCCTAAATTGCTCAAAGTGAATAATATCATATCATTGTGGAAAGTCGTGTTTGTCGAATAGATTGCATTGTCGTTAACTAGATAAGACATCATATATATTTTTTCGAGTTGAATCATAGTACATACCAATTGTGTAAATTGATAACAATGGAGGGGCTTAATTGCAAAATGAAGCGACCAGAAGTTGTTGGGGGTTAAAAATGGGAAGAATTGAAGACATGGTGGAGATGTTTTTTTTTCCTAAAAACGAGGAGAAACCAAAGGAAGAACAAAGAGGATCAGGTCAAAGCTGTGGGTTGTATTTGGAAAAGTCAACGATTGTAATGGTCGGCTTTAATAGGGGTGTTTTATTTATTATTTTATTATTTTATTATTTTAATAAGAAAAAAGAAAATAATAATTTTTAAAAAGAAAAGAGGAAAAAAGAAAAGGGAGGGGGGGGAGGGATTCAGTTGAGAGTAATTGGGGCTCTCATTGAATCGCCTCCACCAAACAAAAACTCTAAAATCCCATTTCTTCACTCCATGGTTTCTTTCTTTCCTTCCTCAAGGTACGTTTCTCTCTCTCTCTCTCTCTCTCTCTAGAATTTCGATTATCGTCTTTCTTTTACGACACTCGTAGAGCTCAGGATCGAACTTTTGACGTCAAGCAAGGTAATAAGATGTCTTATATCTGCTAAGTTAGGCTCGGTTTGCTTTTTTTTTTTTTTTTTTCCTTTCATTGTGACGTTTCTTTAATCTTGGTTATATATACGTTTTTTTCCTTATACTTCGATATTGTATTGTTAAATCTATCATGTCTTAACGAGTAAATATACGACTAAGAGAAACTCGAGTTTTGAATCGTGTAAAGGAATAAGCGATTGAAACTGTCATGTAATTTTTGTTTGGATGAACGGGTTGGTTTATGAAGACTTTATTGATTTGTGAGGAATTTAAGAAGAGTAAAACGTGTTTTTTTAAACATTTTAAAAGTCTTTTCGTTTATGATTTAGGGTTTTAGAGGTCGTTTTGTTTGAAATTAAGAGTCGGTGTGTCGGGTTGTTGTCAAAATTGTAATTTATCAAACTTTTATAAGAATAAATTTTGTTTGTATTTTGTTTAAGAAATTAATATTGGAAACCTTATATATAATTTTAATAGATAATATTTTTTTTAATCCACTTAAAAATATTTATTTTAATTGGATGACTGATTATTAGTAAATAAGTTAATTCATTGATGTATTTTTATCTATAAAAAATAATTAAATAACTATTTGATTATTTAATTTAAATTTATTATTATTAATTATAAAATTATGATGTATTAACAATGAATGAAACTAATTAAAATTAGTCTCAATAAATAATAAATTGATTATAAATATTAAAAGTTAACTTTTTACTGAAGTAATTTATTTAATCCCAATTAGCTAATTAAATAGTATTTAACATACGGTTAGCTAATTACTGATCATTTTATTAAATAAGTATTTTCATCTATTTAATAAACTTTTATATCTGTATAAATAAATTAAATATATATTTACATATGTTATTGTTGACTTATACTAATTAAATAATTAATTACATTAATTTTGATAAACCATGATCAATTAGTTCAAAATAAAATTATAAGGCAGAAGAATACATTATTTTCATAAATCACTTAGCACCAAACAGACCCATAAAATTATGTATTGATATTTTCGTAGGATGTTTTCACTTCGAAACTCTTATCCGTTCCCATGTTTTAAAAGTGCTTTTATTTTTTCTTTTAGAATACAACTTTCATATTCTTCTTCTAAAAATCAAACGTTTAAAACCTCCATTTTGATCATCAGAAACTCGTGAACTCGTGAACATTTGAATTTCTGATCTCGTGATCTTAGATCTTATTGAAAATGTAGGTAATGCTTGTACTCTGGAAGCTGAGGTAGCTGAATGGCAACAAGTAGAGCAAAAGAAAGCTGTGGTTTGGGGAAGGAGAGGAAGATCACAACTCCCAGTTCTGTCACCATTCCTAATCCTAATACTTCAACCAAGAGAACTCCAAAGTCATCTCCTAGAGGCATCTCCACTGATCAAAAGCTATCTTCCTTTCCTTCTTCACCATCACCATCTTCTTCTTCTACTCATTCTCTTTCAATCCTCCCTCAGAAACATGTTCCGAATTACCTCAAATCCACGGCCAGCTCCCGTCACGATCATAACTTTAAGCCGATCAAGAAGTCTGCAGGCCCTGCGCCGATACCCGAGGGCAAGCCTAGTTTGAATAGAAGAAGATCTTTTGACAAACCACCACCGGCTATGCAACGTTTGGGGAAGCCATTTCGATCGCCTGAACCGAGGAATAGGGCTGCTCATGCTCCGGTCCGGTCTTCCTCTTTTGGGGCCAAACCATCCACCACACTTGTCAGCTCTACAAAGACTGGTTTTTTGGAGAGATCAGGTTCCAAAATCTACAAGGTGGGAGGGAAAACACAACAATCAGTTCAAACATTTAAAAGTAGTAGTAATTTAAGGAAAAGCTTGAAGAGAGAATCTAGCAATGCTGCTTCTGCTTCATCAGCAGAAATGGTTCCCAAGACTAAGAATGCTGTTGAACATGTAGGTCAGAGTCCTGTTTTAGTTCTCGGTGTTAATGAGGAGGACTTAAAGAAGATCGAGTGCGAACTCGATCTGTGTCTTCCGGATCCAAGGCCTGAATTAGATAAAGAACTTAGTACTACTGATCAGGTTGAAAAGAGGCTTCACCATCATCAGCCTATACAGGACACAAAGATCTTCAAAGTAGTTGGTTCTAATAAGAAAGTGGAAGAAACTCCTGGGGCAGCTGAGACTGATAATGCCAAATCGTCGATCTGGGAAGACGAAAATCAAGAACAAAATGAAGGGGAAGGAGAAGAAGAAGCTAAAGAAGAGGAGAAACCAGAGAGAATTGAAGTGGAAAAGGAGGAAGTTTATGGTGTTGTTGCATCAGAGGAAAGCACAAACAACAAAAATGAAGAAGAGAAGAGCCACACCGATCCCATTCAGGAAGGAGTCATTGTTTTAGAACACAAAGAAGCAGAAGATGGGCAGAGTTCCAAGGAAGAAAATCACAACAGTACAGAGAAAGAGGCCGAAGCGACCGAGAAGGTGGCAGCCGCCGCTGCCGCAGCAGCAGAAGCAGCCAAACCACGACAAGGAGGACCAGGGAGAAAGGAGTCTCCAGCAGTGTACAATCATGTAATAGAGGAGACAGCAAGTAAGCTTTTGGAGAAGAGGAAGAACAAGGTAAGGGCATTGGCAGGAGCATTTCAGACAGTCATTGACTATGAATCTTCATCCAAATGACAGATAACTTCCGGCCATTTTCACATTCTCCATTGATTAACAGTACAACATCCATTTGAACGCTAAATTGTAGAGAGTTGAGGTTTTGGTTCTTCCTATTTTTCCTTATGGTTCGTTTCTGAGTTTCTTTACATGTACTAAATGACAGAATTTGGGAGAGAAGATTGTATCAGTTTGTTCTTTTTTTTCCCTATGCAACCTGTTGAATTACAAACTTTGAAGCACGTTGTATAATTAATTTTTTTGTTTTAGTAAGAAACCCAGTTTTCATTCAAAAGAAATCGCCCACAAAAAAAAAAAAAGAAAAAGAGAGAGAGAGAGAGAGAGAGAGAGACCCCAACTAAATAGAGTTTATTTGCTGCCTTAAAATTTTACAGAATAAATAAAAATAAACATTTAATATCTAAAGAAAAAAAGGGTAAACTTTATTTTTCAAGATCCAAAGCATGGTCATAACACTTTATTCTATTTCTTTCTTAAAATTTAGTAGCTAAAAATTTGTATTAAAGAGCTTCCTTTTTGTATAAAAATTAAACAAAATTAAGAATATGCCAACCAAAAAAACATTTTGAAAGCACAAAATACACAATAAATCAAATCATAAAAATAAAAGGACCAAAGTATTTAAGCCCGCCAAAGACTAATTTTGAGCAGCAACCGAACCATCCTCTCAATCGTAGATAAAAATAAAAAATAAAAAATAAAAAAATTAAATCGTCTTAAAGTAAGATTAACTACTCCATTACAGTTCTTTACAAAATTGATAAAAAATTAAAAATTAAAAAAAAAAAAAAGGAAAAAAAAAGAAAGAAAAACGTGGGCACTTTCGAAACCTCGAACAAAAATAAGACCTTTTTTTTTTTGTCTTTATTGGGCTGTCTTACAATATTTTTTTAAAAAAACATTAATGCCCAAAAAAATATTGAATAGAAATAGAAATAAACAAAAAAACAAAAGTTGTACGATTAGATATAAATAGATTTGTTTTTTAAAATCTGGAAAGAAAAATAAACAAGGTAAAAAGAGTTGAATTAGAGCACCTAGGATTGGTCAAACCTGGAGATCCACGTGTTCCTACTGTGAAGACGAGTGTACAAAATTCCCCCATCTAGACTTTGTTCCGAATCTAATACTTTTCTTCTCCTTCTTTCTGGAGTGGGTCAGAATCTTCTAGATACACGCGGTTCTCCACCATAACAGGCCAAACCCCAAGGAAACCTTAAATTCCATGAAACTTCCTTCTTTCTCTCTCTATAAAGTCTTCCAAGTCCACCACTTTCCCAACCAGATTTTTCATCCAAAACCCAAAAAGGAAATCAGTAAGCAAACAAACAATAACAGAAAGAAGCCTAGAAGCCAAAGAAAAGCAAGAACCTGAAGGAGGTGACAAGATGTGTTTGGTGTTCGTGTGCGATGAGGATCAGAGGGTGCTGTCCAGGCAACCAGCTCCAGGGGCTTGCCCCTTCTGCGGAGGCATGATCCAGGCCACCGACGTTGAAAGCCAATGGAGGTTCTGCTTCCTCCCCCTTTACTGGAAAACCAAACGCAAGTTCTATTGCACCATGTGCACCAGACAACTCGTTATACAGTAGAAACACTACTATCTTACAGAATTTTTTTTTTTTTTTTTTTTTTGTACTTTTTCTTCATGATCTGTGAAGTTTAGACAGGGGGTTGACCTATTTTATCTTTGTTTTGTGATTTTAATCAGTGATTGTGTAAAGAAAACTATGACTTTAAAGAAATAGAGATTCCATATACGTACCTTGATTGTTCCAAAATATTGGCCTTTCTTCTGCCACGTCTCTTTTATGATTATGAGCTACTTCGCGTGTGCCGCATGATCTCTGCAGAAACGGTTTGTAATTCTGGATGTCTTCGAAAGTAGAATTATACATATCTTAATATGAACTAGAAGATGGGCATAAAAAATGAAATTACTCATCAGTTCTTTACAGTTCAATATTGCATCACTTGCAGAGTTTCAGTTTTTTGAAAAATGCTGATACAACAGATTTGGGGTAGGGTTTGGTCGCAAGACATGTTGGAATGTTCTCTGGTTGTTCTATCCATAGTTTGTGGGCGATTGAATTTTCTTTAAGTTTCTCCGACAAGTTGACGATCTGAGTTTCTCCCTTCACCTCAAGAGTAACCTACATAAAGTTAAACAAAGTCAGTACTGACTTCAGGGAACAAGAAGTCCAGAACGACTTAAGGGATCAATGAAATGCAGAACAACTATAATTTCAACTAATTAAGTTGCACGCGATAAGAATCTGATGTGCAAGGAAACTTCCAATTGGCAGTTCAATCGTTTTGCAAGCTTGAAATGATGAGGTTAGCATTAACTATGGGGCTGGTTACACAGGCCAATGCGAAATGGAGGTGAAAAATTCCTTGGAAGCTGTAGAACTAAAAAAACAACCCTCTTCTTTCCCTACGACTCTACGAATACGGTGGAGAGCCTAGAGAGATACAACCGTATGAATATTAGGTGGAAAAATCAGAACATTCAGCAAACAATACGAGCAGGGATGACTCAAACTTCAGAATAGCAAAAATATAGTTTAAATGGAGAAACACAAGAACCGAAACAAAAATAGTTTTCCAGTAAACAATTGTTCTTCCAAAATGCTTGACAGACGCAAAATGTTCTTTCCAGAATTAAATAAATCAACCAGCGACCAGAACCATAACACGAAAGCTCCAAATTGCTCAGACTGTCTCATCTAGAACGACTTAACAGCGCACCAACGGAGCAAATTTCCAGTTTATCAACAGAGAAGGTTCGAGGCTACACATGGATACTACATTTTGTCCGTCCGAGTTCGAAGCACAACACATCAAATTTTAAAAATGGAATCAGAAGTTCGACCAACCTTATGCATAGAATCGATATTGTGTGGACTACAGTACTCGGAAGTTTGGGGATCGTCTTTGTTCAACCAAATAGCGGAGACTGAAGCATGGCATCCCTGAGTTACGACGCTTCCAAGTGGCCACGAATCGATCAGATCTCTCCGGAGCACCACGTACTGAATCAAAACGTCGGCTGCCTTCTCCACGATGTCGTCCGGTGGAGGAGCGGAATTACTTTCAGCGGATTCACTCATAGAAGCGGAGCTAAATAGATTCGAATTTCGGTTACGAGAGCGGAGACTGAGTGAAGAAGAGGGCCAAACCCTAGACCTCGAACACGAACAGAGCTTCGTGGATTTGGAAATGGAGAAAGTGAATCGAGACGCTGAAATTACAGAAATCATGATATCTTCACACAAAGTAGCACATGATGCTACCGAACTTTCAGATTTCAAGTGTAAACGTCCGTCCAGAAATTCTATGTGGGCCTTTTGGGCCTAAATACAGGGCCCACTTTGTTTGCGCCTAGGCCCAATATAATATGAATAAAATAATTTTTTTTTTTTTTAATGAAAAATAGTATATCCCTATCTATATTATTAGAATGAAAATTGTGATTATGGAAGATTTAGAAAATATTTTTATTATTTTGGATCTATTTTGATTTTATTTTTTTAACAAATGTTTATTAGGTTGATAATTAGTACTCTAACTAGCGGTTCAATTAAAATGGAATGAATTTAGAGTCCATGTACCATGCATATGCATCAGACTCGTGCGACATGACCATGTTATCTATTTAATTTGTAAATCTAAGAGGGAAGACTAGAGATATTCATTTAACCTGCAGAGTTATGGCCCATGAGTACCCGTCCCAAATGGATAGGGATACTCAATCTAGAGAGCAAAATGAATGAGTGGGAAGAGATTTCTCCTAATTAAATAAATGGGGTCAGAGACGAGGATTATATTTCCTATCCCTACATAATTTTCTAACATGTTTCATTTCGTTAATATAAATATAGATATATTTTCAGTTATTTCAAATTAAGATGAGTTTTGTTTCAAGTTCGATATTTTACTAATGAAATAGTTCGATTCTAATTTTTAATAACATGGACAACCAATTATTTAATTTATATTGAAAAAAATGAAAAGGATAGATTAAATGTTTTTATTTAAAATGACTATTTTAAAAAAATAAAAATAAACGAAGAACCGTTCCTACAGGAAACTCTATCCTCGTTCCAATCCTTGCAAAAATAAATGGAGAATTTTACGGGGTAGGGACCAGGAGCCCATGGACATCATTAGTGAAGACTATCAAACCGTTTTTTTTAACATACTCTAATCTTAGAAAATATTTCAGGAGGTTACTTCAAAATTCCTAGGATTAATGTCTCGCTTATTTATATATATATATATATATATATATATATATATATATATATATATATATATATTAAATAATAATAATAATATCATCAAGCATCCCCATCATTGATTTGACTAATCTTTAGTTGCTTACAAACGTGAAAAAAAGAACCAAAAAATTATCTCCAAAGTCATTGCCCCAACTATTTTAGGACATAACTTTAAATTTATTCCATTTTCACCCCAACTAACAAACATAATTAAAAATCTCCCACTATTCCAAACATTAATGTGTTAAAACATTCGCATCCAAATTTACGACCTAACGATCCTATCTTTTTATCTCTTTATCTCAACTTTTTAAATCAATCGAAATAAAAATGAATATTATTAAAATCTTAGGTCTGAATTCTTCTATTGGATTTGACTCGGTTGATTATCCTTTCAAATTAAGAAAAAATAATTGAAATTTTATAAGATTTAAAGGACGAAATTGAAATTCTAAAAATATAATATAATATAGTACTCGTCCATATATTAAGGATTTATTATATATTTATCCTTATATTTTTAAAAATTCCAATTTAAAAATTAGTTTTTGTTCTCTATAGGAATATATATTTAGTTTTTTCTGACATCAAAATTATAAATACTAAAATTTAGTAACTAAATTAATATTTTAAGTGAAAATATGTTTGCTAAAACGGAACTGAAAAAAATAATATAAATTACATTAAATGATAATTTTAATTTTTAAATTTGAAATTTCATTTTGCTTATATAAATGGTGCATCTAGTCGTTATTATCCAAATTCTAAAATGCAAAATTATATGAAGATTTTTTTTTTGTTAAATGAAATTAAATTTTAAAATTCACCATCAAATATGTACTTAAAAATATAAAATACAACTACATTATATTATTTTCAAATTTTTATTTTCACATTATTCAATAGTTTTTCTTAGATATAAAATTTAAATATATACTTTATAAACTAATTGATTTTAATTTAAATCTATAAATATAAAATTAAAAGTTATATAGCTTAATTTAACTAAAAAAAAAAAAATACTATTTTATGTATAATGGATACAATACATATACGACGAGAAAATAAAATCAAGGGGAAAAGAAAGGGAAGAAACAAATAAACAAAACAAGGAAAAATAGAGAGAGAGAAAGAGAGAGGGTAAGGCTATGGATTATTGTTCTTCTTGTCGATCGATATCATGGTGCTCCTGTTGCAGATCCGCCAGAGAGAAGCTTCTAGACTTAAAGCTCATCAACCTTCTGTGATTAAAATCTGAAAATCTTTTTTCCTTCGGTTCTTCTTTTTCATCTTCAGTATCTTCTGAAGAATATGGAGCAAGTGATTCATCTTTGTCGCCGTCGCCGTCGTCGTGGTGTTCTTCTTCTCTGAGCGCTAACAGAGGCATCGACTTAGGGTTTGGCCAGGTGTAGAAGGAAGTTTTCCTGGCCAATTTCGACGCAATAAAAAATCGCCTCCTCTTGTTGAATGAGTTTTCAGGTTTCTCAATGTCTTTTACTGATTTCGCCTCTGCTAGATTCGCAAACGATTTCGATTTTCCAGAAAAATGACTCGATAAGCCTCTCCTGGTTTAAAATTTCAACAAATCTCAAATTGAGGCCAGCAAATTGAGCAGGATAAATTTCTTTAAATCGAATCGAGTGATTGAGTTTATTTCCTTCAATCAATCGATCAAACAACAGAGGAAGAGAAGGAAAAGGAAAACTAACTTACTTAATTGGAAGAGACCTTTCCAACGATCCAACAGAGTTCAATCCTGCATTTAATTTACTCTGAACTTCCTCGCGATCTCCGCCAGTGGACGAAACGCTCTCCTCATCGCTATCATCATCAGGAACTCCAATCGACGACGAGGAATCGGAACGGTAATCGATTTCATCCTCCGGACCTTTACCGGACGCGAAGCGTCCGAAATCCGATTTGATAGAGTTCCAAGGCGAATCAACACGGTGCTGCGGCGGCGGAGATACGGCGGTTCGGTCTCTGACGAAAGAGGAAGAAGAGGCGTCCGGAATGGTGAAAGAGGGAGGACCGAAGAGAACCTCCATGATCGTGAAGATTGAGAATCAAACGGAAGTGGAAGTAGCGGAGATTCCTTCTTCGTTGTCGTGAGACGTTGGTTGAAGAGATAGTGCTGCCATTTACAGAGAGAGAAAGGTATGAAACTGGAAGGGAAAATGCGTTCCATTAAAGGAAGAACTGCAAAAAAAGGAAGCTGCTGATTATTATTATTATTATTATTAGTAGTATTTTAAAAAAGGCAAATTTTCGGACCAGTTTTATCCAAATTATGGAAATTAATACCATCAGCCTAATACTCCAAAAAGGAATAAATAAATAACAAAACGTAAAAATATTATTGCCCTAAAATTTAATTTATTTCCTGGTCAAATTACGGCCTATGAATTTTCAGACAAGTGGAAATTAAATAATTCAATATTAATTTTTTTATGAGAAAATATAAAATAAATTTTAAATGATTTAAAGCATGGTTGAGATTCACCCTGAAAATACAAAAAAATAATTTTAATAATTTCCAAATGATTTTTTTTTTGTAAATTTATAAAGACTAATTTCGTGATAATTTTCGTGTATTTTTAAGTCAAACACATTTACTCAGCTTTTAAGGATTAAATTTGTAATTTAACCTATTTAATTAAAACAAATTCTCGAGAATTATGTGTTATAGCTTTAAAGATCAAACCCATATTTTATATTTTTAACATTATATTCCTAAAATAAAAATTATACGATAGATAAATAGCAGTTTAATGAACAAGTTGTACTATGATTCAATTAGTCTAAGTATTTAATTCTTTCGAGTAATGTTTTTAAAATGATAATATTATAATGAAATAAAAAAAATTAATTTGTAACTAATGTTTTTTTATATTCTAAACTTGGTGGACAAGTCCGCAAGTAATTAAAATTTGAATTATTTGAAAATTCTCTAAATATTAGAATCTTAATTTATCACATTCTTTTATTTGGATTTTGTTTTCATAAATAAATTCCTGAAACGACGCCGTATTAGCCACGGAATAAATTTTGACCGGTTCAAGATGACGTGGCAGGGACAGGAGCAAGGAAAAAACGTCAGACCAACCTAAGAGAGAGAGAGTAAAAAAATAAAATTAAAAAATGATGGGTCCCACTTTATTCATAATTTTGGTAATCTTTTCTTTTTGCTTTTTTTTAATTCAAATAAAATCCGAATTGATATCCTTATCCAATTAAATATGTATGTAATTATAGCCCAATCCTATTCCATAAAAAAAAACATTAAATTATTGTCCAACGTGTCCTTTAAACCAATTTGATCGATTGAGTTGGATTGTAGGATCAATTTAGTTGAGGTAGTTCGAGTTTAAATTAAAAATGTATACAGGTTGGATTAGAAAAACTTTTTGGACCAGTCTGAAATTTCGAGTTAGTTAAGTTGGTGACCCGAACACTTCGAATAGAGTTCACAACCAATATTAGGTTTTCGAGTTGAGTTGAGTTGGGTTGTTCATTTCTTTAAATTATTTTTTAAAAATAGTACTCATGTATAATATATGTTATATTAATAATTAAAATCTCGTAAAACTCAAATATCAAACATTTATAAATCAAACCCAATCCAACTTGTATGGTTTGAGTTGAGTTGTTCGGGTGTGTCGAATTCTCAGATCATAAGAAGTATGTACAGATATATTTACAATATTTCTTTATATATTTGCTAGTCATGTACTTAGACTACAAAGAAAACAATATCTACTAGTCATAAACTTAGACGGTTACATAATCTTCTGACATAGAGAAAACCGACTCAGCCTTGCGAGCCTACATGAAATAAATTTAAATATTAAAATTTGAGAGAATAAAATAGAACAAAATTCAAAATAGGAGGACAAAAATTATATTTTATTTTTATTTATTTTTTGAATGGTAGAAAAGGGTATTAATTTAAATTTCAAATAAATTCTAGAAGATAAGCTTTTGTGTTTATCTATTTTTGACTTTTCACATCCAAATCTTTATTCCATTTTGACTTTAATACAGACATTATTCATGCACCTATTTGACCATGTGATGATAATGATTTTTTTTCTTTTAAAATTCACTTTAATTTATTAATAGGCTACCGACATATATATATATATATATATATATATATATATATTAATATAAGAGATCTAAATCATAAAAATATGAGTTTCTTTTATTAAATTATAAATTTATTTTAAAGAATATTAATTGATATTTAATAGATATTTGAAATTGAATTTTAAATTTAATATGTTCTTCGTATATTATAAAATTTTAAAGAATTTAATTGATATATTAGGTATAAATTTAAATTTTATATTTATGGGAATTCTAATTTTAATTTTGTTGTTTAGTAGATCAATAAATTAAAAATATTAATTAGGTTATTTTAGGGGGAAAAAATAGAGATTTAATGGATAAATTGAGGTTGAATTTCTTTAATTTTAAATTGAAAAAATAGACCACAGATATAAAAGAAATTAAAGATTAAAATTGTATATATATTTTTTCACTTTAAAATTAATTTAATTTATGTAGAAATAAAAACTAATATCTGATTCCGCTATTATTTATTTATAAAAAAATAAAATGTTTAATTAAAATTAAATATTACATATATGTTTGAATGGATAAGCTCTAAAATCCCAACCAATAATTTATTTGTGATGTCGGTTGGACTGAATGAAACAATCACAATTTCATTAATTTTAAAAGAATTAAAATTTAATAGAAAAAAAATGCAATTTTTTAATTTTGATTTAAATTCTAATTATTTTTTTCAACAATTTTTAATAAAAAAAAGAGGATAATTTCACGAGACCTTTTAAGTGAAAACAAAATTTAAATTATAAGAGTATATTCAAAATAAATAATATTATACGAACATAGAGAATAGAGTGTCCTTATCAATTGATATTAAAGTCATGATCGAAGCTTAGCTATTTACCGAATAGATCTTTACTATCTTAACCTATAATTCGTTAGCTTTATTGTCCGTTGTGGATGAATTCCTATCTTAGATTGAACGACAATAAAATAAGACAGTTTTCTATATCTAAGACGGGTTTTCGCACGTGCCTAAAGGTGGATAAAGTTCTAGCTTCTAAAATTGATTGCTTTTTTTCAGGCTCGAGAAGGGCTTAATTGCAAATAACCTTTTAAAAAAGTCTACAAACTAAATTAGTACTTTTTGTAGGGACTAAAATAAAAAATAGAAGAAATGTAAGGACTAAAAAATAAAAATGATAAGAAATGAAAGAGAGAGAGAGAGAGAGGGAGGACAATAAGTGGAAATATAAAGAGAAATCTATTAGGGGTCATAAAAATCTTTTAGAGTGCTTTTTGTTGAACGGAAATAGCCGCCGTGGACCCCACAAACAGAGCATAATTGGGATTTTTTTTTATATATAATTATAATAAATTCATTAATATCCATAAATTTTTAAAAAGTAGATTAAAAATACTAATGATTTTGATAATTAGGATGTTATTTAGTTAGAAGTCGGTTTGATTTGGACGAAATAAATTAGGTTTATTAATTGATTAAGTCGTCACATCGTTTTTTTATTGGAGTTCAATAGGTACGAGAGAAAAATTTAAATCTCTAACATGTATTTTGAGACTTCGAGGATATATGTTAGGCTCGATTAAATCATAATAACCCATTTATAAAAATAAAAAAAAAATTACAAAAATGATTATTTAAGAAAAATAGATCAAAATTATTGCAAAATTTCTTCTGGTTGGTGGCCGACAGAGATTGAAAGGCAGCACTTGTGAGCGTTCTATTGGTCGTTTCTTTTTAGAAGATCACCGAACGGTAAGCGTAAGCCCTAAAAACATTACAAAGGATTGTTTCATTTGTGGGGGAAAATCAGATTTGTAGCTTAAAAATCTGATGTTCTTTGAAATTTAATGATTGTATTTTAAACCTAATTTTATTAAATTTTAGGACAATTTATATGAAAATTCATTTTTATATATTTTTTTAATTAAATTTATAGCTTGGTAAAATTTCAATTTACATATATACAAACTCGTTTTCCACAAATCATCGAGCTTAACTTTTAAACAACATAAAAAGAAAATTACTCTTTTGACCCTAAAGATTTAAGATATACCCTTATATCCTAGCTTCCAAGAAAATAAATTTAAAAGGCTCTTAATTGTTACGTCCACCGGTAGTAGGTATTATCTGCTTTGACTCGTTACGTATTACTGTTAGCTTTCACGATTATAAAACACATATGTTAGCGGTTTCTACACCCTCTATAATGAATGTTTCGTTTCCCTCTCAAACCGACGTATGATCTCGCAATACAATAGCCCCGACATTTAAACAAGTCCTTTAAACATGTAAAAATACACATTCACGAGAATTATTAGTTTGCAATCTCAAATGATACAACCCTGAACTTTAGGAGTACAAATAGACGAAATTAAGGAATGGAAAGTGTGATAATAAAGAACTTTAAGCATCACAATTCAACCATGACCCGATATAACCGACCGAAGCACAACACAATTAATAAAGATAGTAATTGTTAGAAATCACGACTCTTCACAATGATATGATATTGTCCACTTTGAGCATAGACTCTCTAATGGCTTTGATTTGGGCTTCCCCTAAAAAGTCTCATACCAATGGAGACAGTATTCCTCGGTTTATATCTTCAATGTGGGACCCACTCCCAATAATCCTCAATCCTCAACAGTAATTATCATTTCAAATGTCGATAGTTTAATCTAAACCTGCCATTGTTGAGCCCGACCGACCGACGGACGGACGAATCAAGAAAATAAAAACAATGCCTAACCATTCTCATCCATAACAGACAGCAAAGAAAAACCATTAGGCATCACAAACAGGTTTCATGGATGGGTAGATAAACATTTTTACTTTATAACCAATTGGCTTCTTCCTCCCTACCTTACGATGAGCAAGAAGTGTTATATATTAAAGAATTATACAAAAATCTAACAAATTACACTATCTGGCTTTGCTTAATCAATAATGAGTGAAGGGAGATGGAATATAATAGCTATAATCTTAAAGTATCATCTACATACCTGGTATGTCTTTGATCTTGTTCATCATTGAGCCCACAAAGCCTTTGGCATGAGCTAGGGAGCCAATATTTCATTCCTCATTGCCGATCCCCTTGTCCGAACCTGGTTCAAGGCGTCGGGCAATTCAGGATACACGAGTCAAGCTCAGTCATCCATTGAAAGTGATAAAAATGGTGGTTGGATGGTCACAGAACCATGGAGTTGGAACGACGATGATCTGCGGCCCCATTGCTGAATTTCCCACTAGTCTGCCTAACTTTGAGGCTGCTGTACCGAAGCGGCTTTGGGTGAAAGAGGGACAGCAACATTTTCTCCAGATTCTGCACGGTGTACTTCGCATACTTACTCGAACTTGCATCTTGCTCAACCAGAGGGCCATAATTTTGCATGTAGCTACGGTAAACGGGCACGATGGTTTGAACGATAAGTTGGCATGTCTTCTCCCTCAATTCTCTGTCAGTTATAACCCAGTTTGACTGCTTCTTGTACATGTCTTCAAAAGCTTCATTGAATGTCTTTAAACGTTTCTTAACAAGATCGCGAGCAGTCGCTCGTCCACCTGAGAACATAATCAAACCCTCCCTGCTTAAATGACTAGGAAGTTTACTCCAGCTATCCCTCAAGAAAACTGCAGCATAGTAATCCTTGTACTGTTCATGTTCCTTTACTTTGTCTACCATTAGTTCTCCGACTTTCGTTCCTTTGAGGTGCTTGTATAGATGCCAATGATTGTTCATAGCGAAAAAGTTCGACAAGGTCGAATCTTCATAAGCCTTTATCCAAGTGTCCAGATTCTGCTCAATGGCTTTGACAAGGTTCGTTACCTCACCGACAAGAAGAGCCTCTTGGAACTTTTCTTTCTTCCAACTCCGGTGAATGACGAGGGCCTGGGTCAGGATCGGCCTATAACCATCGCTGAGCAGTTTATTACTGTAATCGATAATGAAGTTAACCAACCTTGAAACTGCCCCATCTAAAGGTGGAGGATTTTGCCTCTGGAGCTCCACCTGAACTAGAAGTTCCCAGAAAATCTCGGCTACGCCATCGATAACCCTCTTAATTAGATCTCGAGTCAAGTTTTGAATTTCCAAACAGGCAGCCCCGCCGAACAGCCTATTAAAGTCGAGTCTCAGTTTGTTCAAGGATGCAAAGATATCTAACAACTTCAATAGCTTAATAGGATCATTCTTGCTTTCTGTAACAGTTTTCCCAAATTGAAGAAATGCAAGAATACCAGCTTGAGTTGCTATCTTTGCAAAACAGCCCATCCAAACATCCAATCCTATCCTCTCAAAAACATCATTACAAAGCTTGAACTCAGCTTCAAACAAATGTTTCACTGCAAACTCCAAATGTGTTCCCCATTTCGCAATGTACCCCTCGATGCTCTGTACATCATTGAACTCGGAAACCGATATCTCCAAGTAATCCAAACCAAGAGCCTGCAAACTAGCCCTAACGTTACAACTACGAACTTCAACGTAAATGGATATGCATCGTTCGAGTCGTTTATTAGCAATCAATCTCCCAAGAATGGCTTGAAGTTTGTGAATAACAGTCACAGGCAATGGAGATGGAGCAATGCAAGCTTGGTCACTGACAGACGCCGCAGAAGACATGGGAAGGGGAACGCTGTGCTCCGTTAACAGACGCCTAAACTCGTTCTCTAGTTTATCTAAAGCAGCATTCAAAAGGCCTCCATCAAGCTCAGTCTTCTCCTCATCACTCTGTAAATCCCTCAGTTTCTTCAACGAGTTCTTCAAACTCCCAAGATATTTCTCATCAGCAACAGTATTATCTTCCAAATACTCAACTATGTCCTCCAACCACTGGATTCCCAGCCCACAGTTATCTCCCAAGAATCTCAATGCCTCTTCCATACGTTTCAACACCGACAAATAACCAGGGAGATCATTCCGCGGGTCCGATAACAGAGACTTTTCAAGGCCATGAACAGCATCAAAAACCTTAAGCACCGCCGCCGCAGGGCCAACAGCACGGTTTATATGGCCACCGACGGCGACGAGGGCTTCCTTATCAGCACGAATAGGCCGAACAGCCGCTTCTAAAGTCGGCAATCTTTGGCTAATCTCCTCCAATCTCGACCCAGCTTTCTGCAACGCAAATCCTAGAGCCCTAGATTTCTCTAAACTAGCCTTCAACGACCTAGTAGCAGACACCAAATTCTCAATATTCTTCTTCCCCTTCCCATCAACCAACACCGGTGCCGTCATTTTCTACACAAACCCTAAACCCCCCAATAATCAAGATTTTCCAGAATCAAAATCGCCAGTTAAAACCCGAAATCAAGAGCAAGAGAAACGGCGGGAAACAAAAAAACAACAAATGAAACGAAGCTTGTTTGTAAATTTCCGGAAATCACGAGGGAAAACTCCCTGGGAATCATCGAAATGGAGAAAATCCAAAATCAAATAGAATAAGTACAAGAAGTAAACCTCATGCACTGTGTAACTCGCTGGACCAAAACGAAAGAACCCCAATCAGCCAAAAAAAAAAAAAAAAAAAGT